AAAAAAAAAAAAAAAAAAAAAAAGAAAAAGAAAATCAGACTTTTTCTGTGGAATTTCTTTCAGCTAGCAATTACAGTCATTGTTTGGAGAGCTAATTTTGATGGTATTTATAAATAATTACTTTATTTTTTATCTGGAAAATCAGCAACCATTATGCAGTGGGAATTTAAGCCATTCATAGAATACTTAAAATACCGCCTTCAAGAAAAATGGAAATAGCTATAGTTATGATTTGTTCAGTTTAACTTTTTTCACCAGCATCATTCAACTTTCAGTCTTCAGTGAGACGAATTAAAGGAGAAATTGTCTCTAAGAACTTGTTCTAAATATTTTAAATTAAATCTATTCAAATGACGGTATCTGCTCTTGAGAAATGTATTTGAAAAGGATGCCACAGGCTTACGTTGTGCTCAACATACACTGGAAATCTTAATTTTTATCGAATGCAGGACCAACAGTTCCAGGATCAATCAGTGGCAGTTAAAAACTAGTCTGATACTGAATTTTAATGGACCCAGCCAGTAACTTTAGGCATGACACTTGTCCTTGGTCACCCTTTCTGGTAGCCTACTGGTAGATGCAGACTCTAGGGAAAGAAATCCCAGCAAACCCATGAGTTAGTATTATTCCTCATGTATCAAAACTCTCTCTGAAGTGGATCCCACAGCTGGCTAAAAAGGAGAGGCTGGATTTGTACTCAAGATGTTGAAGGCAATAGAGTTGTTCCTAGCTGTTGTATGGGTGTCCTCTGCAAAGCTGGCAAATAATTTAAACTCATCTTTATGCTTTTGGTCACTATAGTTTATTATTTATTTTCTCCGTGCTCCAGCTCTGATCCTCAGGTGAAACTCTGTCCCCACAGAACCCATCAGCAGTGGACCCATGCTGGAATCTGATTTTCAAGAGTTTTAAACATTCACAGTGCCAGCTGGAGGCAATGGGTGCTATGGGTGGTTAGCCCCCCCTCCTGAACACTGCTCTGTGTCTTCCACATTGAGCACTTCATCACCGAAGAACTATGGTGCATTTGTTATAAATTCTGG